TGACATTATTTCGCGTATTCTTCTCCGCCCCCCCCCGTCCTGACACACTCTCATTGTCCACTCTCTGTTCTTAGCTCGCTCCGTAGTAATTATCTATCCCAAAGTGGCATACATTATTCTAAAGAAATGTGAAATGAAGCTAACTAAACTAGGAAAGTAGGAAATTTCGGATAATTGCGAAAGAGCGATGAAAAAAATAGAGTCGGTGGGCACTTTGGATGTATAGATGGAGATATACGCATGAAGCGTTTAGTGGTTGAACTTCTTCCGATATAATTTCGTTCGTGTAGCTATGTGGTATTTATTCTCTTTGTGGTTTGTGTGTTTTATTTTCTTTTTGTTCTGTAAACTTTTATCCTCCATCATTGACGATTATTAAAAACAAAAAAACAAACAAAAACAAACAAAAAAAAAAACAAAAACAAAAACAAAACAAAAAAGACAACAGAAACAAAAACAAAAGAAAAACAAAAAACTAAACAAAAAATCATCGAGTTATTGCCGATAATAAAAAGTGCACTGGCGCGAATGGTAAACGATGGTAGGGCTGTAAGCGTCAGCAAATGACGCTTCCTAAAAAAATAGTTAAGATACGAGCTGAAATAAAAGCTAAAGGAACGGAACGAAAAACGAGAAACCGCAGGCAAAGTTGCGTAGCATCGTTGAATATGAGGCAGAAGGAGAGGAATTGACGGCAAAGAAGGAAGGCTGGCGTAGGGATATGGAGGGCGAGAGACAGAGAGAGAGAGAGAGAGAGAGAGAGAGAGAGAGAGAGAAAAGAGGAGGTGGTGGTGGAAGGATAAAAGATCGGAGAAGAAGCGATCCGCGACTACGGCGGCGACTCGAGCTCTAGCGGAGATTCGCGCGCGGTTCGTCGTATGTACATAGCCGGCTATACGTATGCGTGAGAGCGTAAGCGTACGCGGGCGCGCATGTGCATACGTACGCGCGTGTATGCGCGGTGCCGTGTAAAAGCGGCATCCGAGCGAAATTAACGCGAACATACCTTTGGATGCGCACGACGCCGCGCGAGGAATAGAAGACGAACGGCAGGCGGAATATGAAAAGCCGGACTCCTCGAGCGTCTTCCCCACATCCATCCCGTTAAGTGCGATGCATTGGCTGACACGCCAACTATGCGATTACGGTCTAGCAATGCTCCTCTCTACCTCTCTCCCTTCGACACCTTACTGTTGACGCTGATTATTTAACCTCGACAAAACTAATGCTTCGCACGTTCTTTTATCAGTGTGACATATCCTCGTGATCATCACCTCCTAACCCCCATCATTCCCGGCATTTGTGATGAGCCACCGCCAATGTAACGAAAATTTTCCATTCTTACGATTACGTACTTGGATTTCAAGGCTTGCCAAGTATGACGTAAACTCGTAAATTACAACTCTATAATTGTAATGGCGAATAAGGAATATATCTACTTCGTGTAATGTCCTTTGCCTTCTAATAACGATAATCATAATTATGATGATAATAATTATTATAAGGACGATGACGACGACGACGTTATTTTTTAACAGTCGTATTAATCTAGGAATTTTTTTTTTTTAATTTTTTTTTTTCCCCGTTGAGCGTTTAAATTCCTCTTTAATTAAAAAAAAAAAAAAAACAAAAAAATAAACAAACAAACAAAAAATAAGTAATATATTTTTTAAGTACGGATAAAGGAGGAGTTGACTGGAAAAAGGAGAGTTATAAAAATCTATAAGAGCTTTGCGTTTGGACACACACTGACAAGTGATTACTTTTCGCGAACGTAAAATTTTTAATTGTAAATGGACATTCGTATAAGGCTTACAATATCTTGAATATATCCGCGCTTTTATATAAATGATATCTCTGCCTTAAAAATACACGGCTATAATAAGAAATTATCACGAAAGAGAAAGAAAGAAAAAGCAAATGAAAAAAAAAAACAAAAAAAAACAAAAAAAAACAATGTTTATATCATTCATTGTTATTTGTTAATAAGTTCTTTCGGTTACTTTTAATAGAAAATTACGTCTCTCTTAAAAAAGAAATAGAAAATGTATTAATTTGAAAAAATACGACGATTGCTCATCTTATCTAAAATATAGTTATAATGAAAATTCATTGTAAAAGTTAATTGCTCATGCTTATTTCATTTTTTGGTTTTTTTATTTTTATTTATTTTTTTTTTTTTTTTATTTTTTTATTATCGAACGTCAATTTTATATGCCTTTGGAATTAGCTTTTTGTACGTTCAAAAAATTTCAATTCCAATCGCATATCTTCTTAATTGCTCTTTAACATAAAATTTTTCTACACATTAATTAGTACAAATACATAAACATTCCGCTCGTTACAAAAATTAATGAAACTCAAATATAATTAGTATTGAATTGAAAACATTATTCCGTTATTAGCACTTTAACATATTGTTCATTAAAAGTATAAATAAGACAATGCTAAGGACAATAAAAAAATAATAATAGATCTATGAGAAAATTCGAGAAAATTGTATTAGCCAACGAATTGAGTTAATTTTTAATTATATTATGAAAACACAAATTGTATTGTAATGACTAAAAGACTCGACGGTTCCTGAATTTATAAATCTTAATGTATGCGAATAAATAACGTTTGCCCAGGCCACACTTTCCTTTCTCACAAGAATCGCTCAAAGTAAAAAAGTCAAATTTTTACTTATTCCTGAGAATGCCTTGGTCTTACATATAGGAAAAACAAGACGTTTGCCAAGGTGTCGAGAAACTGAAAAGTGCCCCTGAAAAGGCAAAAGAGTCAGCGAACTCTTGGCAAAATTTCGGCCCCCTTAGAAAAAGGAAGAGAGAGAGAGAGAGAGAGAGAGAGAGAAGCCTCGAGGAAACAGCCATCGAGCGCCACGTGATGTTGAGCCAAAAATCCGGATACAAGAGAGATAGAGATAGTCAGGTAGATAGATAGTGAGATAGATAGATGGATAGGTAGATAGATAGAAAGATAGATAGATAGATAGATAGATAGAGAGAGAGAATGAGTCGTGGCTGAACGGGGGTGGAGAAGGATTGGTTGCGTGGAGTGGGAAATAACGGGCGGGGGGGGGGGGGGGGGGGGGCGAGTTTTTGCACTTGACTCACATCGCGACGAGGAGACGTTGGAAGGGCCTCGATCTTGGGATCTTGGCCTCGTGGCCGTTCCGCGACAAGCTCGTCGTGATCCTCTCTTGTCTTCTTCTCCTCGTCACTTATCTCCCTCACTAACCAACACCACCCCCCCCCTCTCCGTATCCCACCGTCTCATCACGACCGCCAACCATCGCTAAAAAAAACCGCGCCGACGGGCCGAGTCGCTTACTTGGCTCGCGACTGGCGATTTCAACGACCTTGCCGTATGCTTCCGTCGCCGGGAGGAAGCTAACGACGCTTTGCCCTTTCCCAATATGCTGCTGTTCCGCTGCAGTGCTTGCCAACGACCCTTTTTTATTCCCAAGCGATGTACGCTCGCTCGCTCGCACCCCCATCCACGATCCACCATTTGCGTTCGGGCCCCCGAGTTCAAAGTTGGAAGGAAGGGCGGCGACTCTCGACCCTCTCCACTATCCAACTGTAAAATCAGGAACTCCGAGTGGCCGTCGGCTGCGGTGAACGAGCTGCCCAACGAGATTGCAGTCGTAAATCCGCGAAGCCTGCGACATTTAGGCGAAAAAACTACCCCACCGATAGGGTTCAATGGTCAAACGTCGTTGCCGTTGATAATGGCGTAGGTGGTTTCGCAAGTGTCCGAAAATCAGGAGTAATCGTGCTTTCATTAGGAAATTGGTCGATGACGGGTGTTTGATTATTTTGTTTGCCTATAAAGGAAAAAGCATGTGGATTGATAATATTAATTAGTACAAGTTAATATATGGACGCGCACGGGGACTTTTATGCGGCAATGTGTTTTTTCAATGAAATTTGTTCGAAAGACGGCCGCTTGTGCTCTTGTTTATACTGCCCGCGAGAAGAGAGAAAGCAGGAAAATGATAAGTTCAAGACGCAAATATGTAAATAGAAAATAACGACGACGCCTTGCGAATGTGAATCTCAAAACGTTTTATAACTTTTTAACGGCGCGCGAAGTAGCATAATGAACAACCGCGTTGAAAGTAAACTTATTAACATTTTTATTATTTAGTTTAATATAGAGATTAATAAACTTTCGGGATCGCGTGTGTATAAAGAAACGAAGAAGAAGAAGATAAGTAATGGTCAGTCAATATTGTATTATCTTGTTGCTTTCATGGCAACGCAAGCGATACTAATATGCCCGGAGACACATACAAGGGAATACGTTTTTCTCCTTTGTATTTTCTTTTATTCTGACAATAATTTCAGAGAAAAAAAATGATAATCGCCGCCAACGTTAACATAACGTTCAAATTCATTCGAGTTTTACGGCTACTGGTTGGCAAAGGAGGAAAATGGCGCAAAATAAAGCAGATAAATCGTAAAATGTGATATATATATATATATATATATATATATATATAGAACAATTGATGAAAATGCATCGAAATGGCACACGAGAGAAAAAGACATGAGAGAGAGAGAGAGAGAGAGAGAGACGATAGAGAGAGACGATAGAGAGAGAGAGAGAGAGAGAGACGAGAGAGAAGAGAGAGAAGAGAGAGAAGAGAGAGAGAGAGAGAGAGCAATAAAGTGGCGAAGACGCGTTTGAATAACTATAGCTGCAGCAGACAAGTGGAATGGAATCGGATGAGAGATTATTCGATCCTCGAGTCTCACTGCGGATAATGAGTGTCGACAAAATAATAAAAGTGTATTTATTGACTCGGGGTGAGCTACTTTTCAATTCACAGAGTGACTCGGGCGAGACTCGACACTCAGAACTAACCCACCGCCGCCTGTTGCGGAAGAAAGATCGGCAGCGGGTGCCGAGGGGACGGCAGCTGCAGATAACGAACGTCCGAAAATCAAAATTGAGCAGAGCAGAGGAGAAAGATGGATTACGACGTGACCCACCTTGAGTGATACCTCGAGCTCTTCCTCCCGCATTCTGAGCGCCTTCCGATGATTAGCATAATATCCAGCTGCGATTATCCGGCGTCCCTGCTCGTGCGGAGGGAGGACCGCGCTACGTAGGCGCGGACGAGCAATGGGAACTTGGCCGTAGTGTAGTGATCGTAGCAAGGGCAACGACGGCGACGGCGACGGGGACGTCGATCACACGAGAGCTGGGAGACTAAGGCGCACTCCCGGAGCGGCGTCCTGGTCAAGGCTCTCGCTCTCGCTCTCGCACACGTTGCTCGCGCACTCGTTTCATGTCGGCGGCTCTACGCGGGCCAGAGCCACCCGCCTCAACGTCCCGGGCTTTCGATCAAACTTCTGGGGAGAACGAAGATGCCGACGCGCGCGTACCTCGAGATACGTGGATAACCAATGCCACGCACCGCAACGCGCGCCGTCTGTACGACGACTGCCGCGGATGCCGCGAGTCGCCGCCATCGCCGGCCCCCGGACGACGGGCGCGACGCCACCGCTCCAGCACCTGTTCCCCGGGCCACCCCCCACCCCACCTCGAGCGCTCCCTCGCGGCTCCCTCGCGGCTCCCTCGCGGCTCCCTAGCGCCTGGCCGTCGTCGGCACGCGGCGGCGAACGGACTCGAGCTCCACCGGTCCCACGGCCGGTCCCCATTGACTACTCCCGTGGGATGCGTGACGCGCCCGGCGGTGCGCCGGAGGGGCAGGGGTGCCCGAGCCTGGTGACGGACGAGTATCGAGCGAGCCGAGATTTGGAGATCGTTAGCCACCAATCGCGTCTTCTATTCTCTCGTGCCCCGCGGGGAAACACCTTCAAGCGACCTCCAAGCCCAACCAACCAGTTTACCAACACTTGACGCCCGAGATTGTTTTCACCATAAATTTGATAATGGTCGCTCTTCCTCGTACATATTGGCTTAGAGGTGAAGAAGGGCCTCCTCCCCCAACGATCACAACTTTACATTGTCTATTATGATTATTGAACGTGGGCCGTGTTTCGTTTGGACGAAAGTTGGACAAAAAATCGACGTCTTTTATGCTTTGATCGATAGCTCCTGCTCCTGCTGCTGCTGCTGCTACGCTATTTAAACATAAACATTCCTGAACTTTAATAAGGCTCGTTTTTTATTACTGGGAGATAGATTGGGATGAGTGGTGGTAAGGAGCTCGTTTGTACAGTTAATCTTTACATTCGATTCAAATTCTCTAGCCTGTGAGGAAATGAAAAACTGCCCGTAATGGATGAATTAATAGAATATTTATTAAGAGGCTGCGGTACGATACGGTAATACGTCGAATGAAGATAAAAGAAGAAGAAAACGATGTTTTTTTTTTCTTTTATATTTTTAATTATATTTTTAATTATATTTTAAATATAGAAAATTACCAAAATGCCTGTCATTTGACTGATATGTGAAACCAACTGTTATGTAAGCTTTTGTAAAGACTTTGTACGCTCGATCATTTGGCTCTGATAATCGGTGTTCCTGCATGTAGCCCACATTTCCTTTAATTTGAGCTATTAATTGCAATTGATTGTTTTATTGTAATGACAATTTAATATCCAACCATTAAGAACGAGCAATGCCATTTGTAAGATGTTTTAACGTATAAAGAAATACGTATGAAACACATAAACACGCGTTAAATAATAATTAATGGAATTTTAATTCTCTCGGCTTTTATAATAATAATAATAATAATAATAATAATAATAATTACTATTATCGATTGCAATACGAGGCATATTTATTATATGTGCATTTCGTTCAAAATTGCAATCTAAATTTCAGTGTTAATCAAGTTTATATTGTTATTGCATTATTATACTTTGTCATGCTAATTTTCTACTTTAATTTGCATTTTCCTTTATCCTTACACTTTGTCATAATTTTTTGTTTATATATAATTTCTAAAAAAATATTATATTCGATCGGCTTATATTGCAAAATTTACAAACTACTTATAAAGTATTGATGAAGTTTAAAAAAAAAAAAAAAAAAAAAAAAAACACCTGTTATGTTAGTAATATTATTGTGCGCTAACGTGCATTATTAAAAAAGCACAAGACAATTAATTATTTTTACTCCGAACGAGATGTGAATTACCTTTAACACTAAGTGTTTATGATATTAGTTAAGCAAACTAAAATCAGCAATATACATCTCACTTTATAAAATGTTTGATCCCACTGTCACAAGATTAAATTAGCCGTAATGGAAAATGAACGTATATAAGACGCTAAACGTCCGACGGTTGGGTTCGACCATCGTCATGCAGATTATGATTTTTTCTTAATATGTTACTAACATTCGCATGTATATTAAATACACACAGTCGCATAGGCTTTTTTTTGCTAGAAGAACGGAGTATCAAAGCAAATCAACGAATTCGAAGTTTTTTATTTTTTAAATATTAACAGTGTGATACGTGATACAGTATAATACAATGGAAACGATTCTTCATTTTTTTATAATTTGGAATTTATGAACCGATTATAACAATAGAGTATTTGCCAAATATTTGATACAGACAGTTAACTAAATATTTTTAATTGAAATTTGTAACGTTATAATTAATAATAAGAAAATTTGAAATATTTAATTAAAGTTCAGCTAATGACAATATCCCTCAGATATATATATTATCTTGATAACATTATCAATGATACTGAAAATAATACTCATTTGCAGAAATATTGCGTTCTAAACAAATTTTCATCTCTATACTACAAGTAAAAAAAAAAAAGAATCAATCGTAATAATCAATGTTTTGGATGTACAAATTGAAAAAAGGCCAGACTTTTCACCTACATATATAACAATTTTTGTATTTGTGTTTTTACCCTACACGTGGTTAACACGATCGATAGTTTTTGTTCGACATATATTGTTTTATGATTATATTTAAATTTCCAAAAATAAAATCATTATAGAATTATTACATCAATTATTTCATTCATAGGTTAAATAAGAAATATAATAGTTATAGAATTTTATTTATTTTCATAAAAATTTTATATATCAGTGAATTTTCCTCGCAATTTTATACATACAACTTTTATTCGCGTAATATCTCATTAAACTACTTGTTCGTCTCTCTGTGTGTGCGTGCGTGCGTGTGCGCGTTCGTGTGCTCGTGCGTGTGCTCGTGCGTGTGCTCGTGCCCGCGGTGGTCACGTGTTTCTGTATAAACAATTACAGCAATTCAATAAAGACTAAGAATTGACATGGTTGAGTAGTTTTCTATTATTTTTAATTCACTAAAAACAATCAGACATTCATCACCTAATATTCGTTGTATTAAATTATAATTTTCAAATCTCGAATGAAAACGTGAATGAAAACATTAACTTAGCTCAATTATAATTGTACGTAGTACTCAATAATAATCGTTAAAACACACTTTGCGGTATTAACAAATAATTTATTAAGTTAATTTACTTGTTACAAAATATTATATCAGGCAAAATTCTTCTTAAATACAACGTTTACCGGCAAATAAACTATATTCTACATACTTATAATTAAGAAATATAAGACTTTGTGAAACCGTCGATCATACCAAGAATATGACATAGAATAGAAAAATTATATGCTCTAGTAATGAGCAAATTTAACTGAATAAATAGCATTTTTAGCTTTGCTACACTAAGAGAATTTTAAATGAATTCAATATATATAAAATGAATGTTTAAACTATTTGATACTCACGTATACGTATGTATTTACATAATAAATATTATTATTGTGAATTATACTATCGTGTATATGCGTTTATTAAAATATAGTAATTAAAATAAAAACTGATTTCATCGACGAAATAGGATAATTTTTATTAGACTCGTCTCTTATGCTTACATTGTTAATGTAGTTTTAATTGATTACGTTTAAATAAAAAAATTGGAAATAACAGGTTCATCAAACAACAGGTCCAACAAAAATTGGAAGTAACAGAAATAATTGAATATCAGGATGTTCAATTATTAAAAAAAAAATAAATTTTTGATTTTGTAAATACATTTTACGAATAAATAATTTTGACATTAAATTGTTAAGAATAGCAAATTTGAACTTTAATAAATTTTTTTATAGTAACTACAACTAACATTAAAATTTCACATTAGCAAACCTCAAATCTATATAATGAATAAGTGTGATGTAAAACATCTTTACAGAAAATGTAAAGTAGGTTAAGCGATAAATTAATTCTCCAATTTATCCTAAATATTAAATTCAAATTTATTCTGAGTCGCACGAGAATACATTCAAGGCTTCGGTAAAATCAAATTCACAATGTACTGTTTTTACGATAGACACCTTGACATTTTACGGAATATTTGTACTGTTTTTAATTTTTCTACTCAAAACATTAAATTCTATTTTTCTTTAATATATCGAACGAGTTCTGATAATACATTAACAAATAAATATATATTTTAATGCGATTAATAAATATTTTACTTTGTATAATTAAAATGTTAATAACCGCGAATGCGGATTTTATACTTGTCTATTAAAAAGAGAGAGAGAGAGAGAGAGAGAGAGAGAGAGAGAGAGATGCATATTACATAAATCTTGTACACACTCATAAGTTTCTGTTTGAAAGTTTTTTTTATCATTGTTACGAATGCAAGTAATTTACAAATACAGAAATACATGAGCTTACCTAGGTGATATTTTTATTTAAATAATTTTGTCGTCGTGTCATCAAGATCCTAATCTGCTATCTTTACTTTATTATTTGTCCTTCATAACTTTGTTTCTCAACTATAATTTTTTCTTTTTCTACTAATTCCATATATATGTGACGTTTTTCTTTCTAATTATCAAAATCTCTCATATGTATTTCTCGACTCTTTCCAAGTTATTAACAAGAAAATGAGTAAATAATATAAATAAATAATAAAAAAAATTGCATTCATGATATTTTATGTTTTTAAATATTCAAAACTTTATCTTGACAATTTTATGAAATGTAAGTATTTTTATTTTATGTTTTCAAATTGAAGATTAACGAATGAGTTTGACTGAAGATTTCATTTTTGTTTTATTAATCATCAATACATTTTACTATGCATTATAATTAATTTCAATGTATAATAAGATTTTTTGTTAATAAAACATAGTAAGGTATCTATTATCTTAAAAATAGGAATGAAATTTTTTCAAAAATTTAATGCAAAGCCTCCGATATTTTCTCGTAATAAATTGTAAATTCATTCAACACATGCTCGTTTAACTTATTTAATCGAGTGTCAAACATAAATTGCATGCTTCTACGAGTATTTGTAATAACGTAAGAAAGTTACGCTTACTCTTTGTAATTAATAATGAATCGAACACACAATCTCAAATAAATAACAACTGATTTATAATAATTAAAATATTTTTTGATTTAGTTGTGAGTTAATATCACTTTAAATTCAGAATAAAATCTAATGGAATAATTATGTATTTGTAAGAGAGCTGAAAATTTTTTGTAATCTTATATATTAATATTTGAAAAA